GGGGCTCACCAGCTGCTGTGATAATCCTAGCTCTTTCACACTCAGTTCTGAGAAGACCAGAATCAATTTTGAGGCATTTCCATACTGATCTGCTAAAGGACTTAAACTTCAGTAGTCCAGATAGCTTTGTTTTGATGCATCCATTGTACTCAAAATTTCTACATTGCTATTGGAGAAACGGCATTCCAGTTCTTGTACCAGGAATAGAACAGTTGATGACTTCAAGCTTTCACACAAATCACGAGAACCTGCTGCTTCACCACTCTCCCTGACATCATTTCACATCATCGTAGTCGAGCATTATAATGAGACACTCAGTATTGACAAGACCTTGTGAATGAAGCAAAGCAAGACTGCAAATTTACCAGAAAATAACTTGTGGTATATGCCTCCTGCAGAGACTGCTTGCTTTGAGTTTGTGGCGCTGATCTTTTGAAGAGTTGCTAAAATCACTTGATATCTTCTCGCCATCATGTTAACACCTTCAAACTTGCAGGCCCAGCGCACTTCTGAGGGACGAAGCAGCCATTATCTGCTCTTTAGGATAAATTTCTCGTTGTACAGCTTCGAATATTTCCAGGTGACTTGCAACACTGAAGATAGTATGCAATGATTTGTAAGCTTTAATAACAGCACTGGCTGCATTGACTTTACAAAAGTACACAACGACGATTAGATTCAATCGATGTGCAGCACACTGAATATACACTAACCAGGGAACACGTCCTTTCAAGTTTTGCAGCGACACCTTTGTTACACATCCACTCATCACAGATGTACTGTCTGCTCCAAGTGATAGAAGAATTGCAGAGGAATCAAATTCCTCACTTATGGGTAAAACGCCTTCCCTCATTATTGTCTGAACGTCAGTTTCTTTCATTCGGGTAAGCTTGTAAAAGCGTTCCTGCAGTTTTTCATCATCATTAACATACCTGAAGCAGGTGGAAAGCTCTTCATGGCTGGCATTATCCTTGAATTCATCGATAAGTATCATATACAAACCAGCTTTTTCAATTTGATCTTTAATTTGTTGCCTCACTTCCATTGCCATTGCTTTGATTAATTCAATTGTAGAATGCTTTGACGGTAATCATATGTTTTGTATTGTTGTTTTAATTTGTCTGTCTGCTGTTTAAACATCGGGTTGGTGACCAGCATGGTTTGGATGAATTGTTTCCACTTCCCTGGGTTAGGTAACTCGCTTGTTTCATTGTGTCTCCTGTATGCCATGCAAAAGTAATGATGATATTGCAGCAGGGTTATCATGTATTCCCGGGTATTTTCAACCAGAGAAGTCCTGTGTGGGTCAAGCATATGAGCACCTTCCGGGTTTCCTTTGTTCTTTTCATAGCATTCCCAGCGGGTCATAGTAAAGAGATGGTCAGAGCTTGAATTATGGCCTTTCAGACTGCAATTTTTTTCTAAATCTTTTGACCAAGTATTAAAGCCAATTTTTGTAAATGCAAGATCTCTTTTTAAGCTGGACATGCTAAAATGTCTGCACGCAAAGCAAAATACTTTGTCCTCTTTTGCGCTATATTCTAACCATGGAAAACTAGAATACCAACACGTTTGAAAACAACGGTTTTGCTGTCACTTAGGGTAACACTTTAATTTTGGCTGACAGGGGCCATCTACCAACAATCCAAGATTATTGTTCACAGACTCTGAGCGAGCAGTTGGATTCACATGATGGTTGACTTGTGGTTGACCAATAGCTTTGAAGGATGTTGTTGGCAATTCTGATGCATCATCGTTGGCAGGAGTAGAATGTGTGGTAGAGGAAGTTGTTGAACTGTTGAACTTATTTGACTTTTGAATGTTCTTACGATCTGAGTTCTTCATAAAAAAAAGATGTTATCGGCAGTCCTGCTTTTCTCTTCATTGAATTAAATAATGTCTGATGACAACACTTGAAAGCGATTTTCCAAATTTCAAATTCAAGAATAAAAACGAGAAGGAAGCGATTTCCTGTTGATTGTTTCAATTTGTTTGTCTAATATAAACACAGTTTATACATTACACAGTCTGACTCTATCATGTTGTGCTAAAGCTAAAAGGTACGTTTTTAAAGTGCCTATGACACGAAATTTCACCCCAAATGTTTATGATTGCATTGTAAAGATCACTTAAAATGACTTAATAATTTCTTTTATAGAATTTTGATAACTTGCTTCCTTTTCAAGATATTCAACTTTGTTTCATATGCAAATATCACCGGTGTGACATCACATCGCATAATGACATTTTGAAAACGCAATATTTTACCTTGATAAAATATTTTTACAAACAAATACAGAGGGTTAATTACCAGTTATGAAATTAATACATATACAAGGGCAATTTTGAAGTATTTTAGATACGTATTCGTCAAGAAAACTATACTTTTCTGAAAACTCATTATGTGATGTGATGTCACACCGGCGATATTTGCATATGAAACAAAGTTGAATATTTTGAAAATGGAGCAAGTTACCAAAATTCTATAAAAGAAATTATTAAGTCATTTTAAGTGATCTTTACAATACAACCATAAACCTTTGGGGTGAAATTTCGTGTCATAGGCACTTTAAGGCTTTATGCACCAGGTTATCTGACGGAATTTTTGTCTGTCAAACAGGAAGACATCTTGGCGCCAGAAGCCTGAAAAAGCCTATTTTCCCCGTCACATATCAATGGCCTTATGGGCAA